CTTCGCCAATAAAGCTAATAAATGAATGTATTAGTTATTTCAATTTAATCTCAGTGTGTGTATGTTGGTCCAAGCCTTTAGCCTTAAATAAAGCAGATACAGAGGAACTACATCCTTTCCCACTCTGCACTCTTTCTAAATGAGCAGGGTTTAAGTGATTCTTGCCTGCAGTGTGATAGTTCACTCATTAAATTAGGGTTCTGAAGAAGCATTAATTGTTAATTAGCTATAGCTCTTCAGTTACCTATGTCATTATTCATTTGTTATTATGTTGTTTATCACTCCCTGAGTTAAAACTCACTGTATAAAACACATCTTGTATGAGAAAGAAAACCTGTTGGCTCAGGAGTGTGACTGGTTCTGAACTGTGGTTTCTGTCATGCAAAAAAAAAAAAAAGTAGAAGAAAAAAAAGCCCTGGATCTGGTTCCACAATTCCTAACAAAAGGTGAAATGTGCTAATTAGAGAGGGTGATGAGATGAGGAAAATGAATGTCACTGCCTACTCAGACTACCATGAGCACACCTTTTACTTTATGGTTGAGATTGCAGTTATTAGTACTGCAAAGATGGTGAACAATTCATTTTTCACCTGGAATAAATATTGTATTATTCACATTTCTGTTCAAGTTCTAGGTCTGATATTTCTTTATACATCCTGACTCACACACACTTTTCTTTCTGAGAACAAATAGTCAGTTCAAAGACATTTTCTTTGATTTCTATCCCTGTTTGACCCTCAGAGGTATCATAGAGAATTAGCAAAGAGGAACCTAAAAACTCCCCCCTCCCACAGTCTGGGAAGAGGGCCAATGCATCTGGTTGCTGGCTATCTAATCCCGATGTCCCATCTCCCATCTCCCTCTGCAACAACGGACACAAAAAGGATGTAAATAGTTTTTTCTTTTAGCTCTGAAACATATGGTTAGATTTTACAGTTGTGAATTTAAATGTCAGAACAGGAAGGAGGACACATGGTGTCTTATATCTCTCAGCTCTGGGTGGAGTGCCTAGGCAAGTGCTGGAGCAAAGTATTTGTAGTTTCACCACAAACTAATGAGGAGCCGTGGTGTTTAATCTTTCTCTCTCATAATTGCATGACCTGTGGTTGCATATAAATAGCCTCATTAGTATTTTATATGGTCATTGGACTCTTAATCCTTCCTTATCTGTTTTTCGGTATAAGTGAAGAGCTAAATCCAGAGAAAGTTTCTAATTTCAGAGCTTTAATTTGCTACTTTGGATCTTATCTGTTAGCCTAAAGATAGTTAGTTTGAAGGATTCAAGTTGATGCTGAGGTTCAGCAAGGAGATGGCATCTGCTCAGAATTTATCGCGGTCATGCTTATCGATCAAGCCCCATTCTTTAAATTCCTCAAGGTTGTAGGGTCTTGTGATGGAATGTGGTGGAAGAAAATAAGGGGAAATTGAGTTAAATTCATTTAGTTTCAACTTGTTTTTCATTACAAAAAGGAGGCCAGCAGATAAATCCTAATAGTTATCTGTGAAGAAATCTATATTTTAAATATTCTACTGAATGCTACTGTACAACTACATTCCACTCTGCATTTCTGCTAACCTCCCTCTTAACTTTCACCTCCTGCAATCATAAAGGATTATGAAGGCATGCTGTGTCAGGCAGTGAATCTCATCACACCTGAAAGACCATCAAAGCCTTTCCTTGTCAACATTATAGAGAGATAACAACAGTGACTGTAACAACTGCAGGAACCATCCAGCAGGACTGCATGTACACCATGAAATCTTTGAATGACTGATGAAAAATATTGAGTGGAAAATTCCAAACACCCACAGTGATAGACGTAATGAAAACATCTCTTGATTTCTGAGAAAAGAAGGACGTTTTTTTAAGGTCCAACTGGTAGCGATGGAGTCATGCTGCTTTAGGCATTCAAAACATGACCTGATCCTGGGGAGCGAGCCCGTCGAGTGCCAAAGATGTCTGACTGATCGTAATGTTTATTCTTTGCCTCAACTATTTGATAAATAAGATTAAGAAAAAAAAGGAGAGGTGAGAATATCATGTGCGGGCTGGAAACTTGCAAAGTCAAAGAGATAATTCAAATTCGACTGCATTTTGAGAGAGGATAATCCCACAGTCTGACTTAAATTGGTTTAGATACGTTTGCAGTTTTCCTTGACAGAAAAGCATCAGCGGGGCCTGTGGCTCCAGCAGGTGCAGTTATATTACTGAGGGGAAAATGCAAATCTGACCTTATCAGTAGTGAACTAATTAAAGTTGCATAAATGAGTCCCAGTACAGGATTTAGAAACTGTGACATGCAACTGCTAATCAGTAAATATATGTCGTCTTCTTTCTAATTATACACAGCATTTGTCACCTCTCCAGCATCATTTTTCTGTAAGAATCATATAAATATCTTCCAAACTGTGCTCAATCCGTGTTAAAAATGTTTAAACATAATACAGGAGAGTAAAACTAAGAAAAAGAAATACCTGACTAGTATGGCCACCCCAGCGTCATCACAGTTCTCATAGACTTTTGCCCAGGAGTCCTGGATCATCACCCTCTCCTTGTCAGTCAGAGGACTTGGTCGCTCCAGGTGGTCCACCTCTCCCTCTCCCTGCATCCTCTCCATCTGGGAAAACAGTTGTGCAGAGCTGAGCACGTGCAGAAGGCAGGACTCTGATAAGGTACCCCTTCCCTCCAAATAAACACTATATTTCTACCTTTCAGTCTTTTCTTGTTTGGGTCTCTTTCTTGGTGAGAAAGGAAGAAAATCCCTTCCCCCCCGGTTTTTCCCAGTGAGAATCTTTGCTCTCCACCTCTGAATCTCTGCTGAGCGAGAGTGTGAGTGAAGAACAGGCGGAAAAAACACAAGAAACACACGCAGGGAACAAGGAGGAGCCTCTGTACTCTCTATTTTACACTCTCCCTTCCGTCACCCCGCCTCTCTTTCTTTCTCCCTCTACCCACCTCACCTTTGTAGGTGGTGTTTGCTGAAAACATGATGAGATGAGGAAACAAATCCTTAATAAGAGAGTCAGATATGTAATGGATGTGAGCATGGATGCAATGTAAGATTAGGACGTTATAATAAAATATAGTAGCACACTCTGCCCTTCTTCCTCCATTGTCACCACCCCAGACCATCCAGGAGATTAACCTGTAATGATGAATTCCTCACAAAGCCCTATCGACGTAAATGTAAAAACACTTTTCTGACTGAAAATGAAACAGCATGATGTCTGTCAGAAATAGGGCAACCTGTAAATAACAAGATACAGGTTAGATCAGCATGTTTTCAGTCTATTTTTCATTCCATTATATGCACACTCCCTCAAGAGACCCACACAGTTCTCACTGCAATTTTTCAAATGCATACATTTTACACCTTTGTTGTGGCAGGGGTTATCAGGAGTTCGTATTTCGCCTGTGTTGTCACAGCTGAAAACTTGAGAATGTTCTTATTCAAGTTTCATAGTGGGCTGGACGAACGGGGCCAATTAGCCAGGAATCTGTGAGATAACACTGAGGAGAGCAAACATAGGAGCAGTGAAAAGACATCAGATGTTGTAACAATAGCTATGATTGAGGTGATATTTACTGCCTTACTGGGAGGTACAATGTTCAGAAGGTGCCAACAAGTAATGTACGGACCCATGTTAAACATTGACAGAGTCCTGATAGTGTAGCATTAACAGTCAAGTTGGTAAAAAGGTGCTTAAGGTAGACTCTTCTCATATTTCCGGGATTGCTGTGTATATCTCAGAAAAATAACCTGTGCAAGCAGTCGTATTATCTACCCAAACAGCAGTGCAGCTGAGTTATTATATCAGCTAATCATACTGTAAATATTTCAACTTTTCATCCATCGCAGACACTCCCAATTAAAAGCAAAACAACAAGAACAGAGTTCATGTATTAAGCTTCTAACTATTAAACCGGCTGGTCTGGGTTCAGATTAGTCACTAGTGGATCAGAAAAACAAGGAGACTCGGTCAATGATTGTAGATCAACATGCTCTGTCTGTTTCCACAGAAGATCACAGATATATTTAGCAATGCTTATGATTATTTGTTCAAACCCACACTCGCAAATTCAGACTGCAGTTCCTAACATGTTATACCTGGTATAGCAGGTATAATAGACCTTAGGCCTATTTTAGTGGATCAGGGCTAATGAGTGATACCATCTAGTGGACCGCTGGAGTAATACTGCTTTTCAGATGCTGTCAGAAAATGCAATTTTTGCAGACAAATGAAATGTGGACAGTTTATGTAAATTATTTATAGAAAAAGTCACTTATTAATTATACAAGAGAAAACCCCATATGTCAAAAAACTGAAGGAAGAAGTCACGTATTAGGCCTAGAACATTTCTTTAAAAATAATTACCTAATACATAAATTAAGCTGATTTATCATTTATTTAAAATGTCATTTATCCATGAGTTTATGGTGACCCTTTCATCTATCACTCTGCTAATTAAGATGACAGTAGCCAATTATTAGGCTATAAAGAAATTACCACAATATTACTACAATAATGCTCCCCAAATTTAAACCTTTGTAAGGCTAATTATGCCCAGATACTTCAGTCACATTGGCCCAACTGTGCACATTTGAATTAAAAAGGTTATCAAGTGCGTGAGATAGGATTGATAAACTATATATAAAATTGAACCTACTATCTTCCAGCGTTCAAATCAATGACAAAAACTCACCTTTTTAAAATGTGCCTTTTCAATGTTTAGCTTAGTCCGATGTGTTTTTAGTGTTGTCTTACTATGTTGAATGTTGTTTTGCTGCTTTTATGTTGTCTTTCTGTAAAGCGTCTTTGAGTATTCAGAAAAGCGCTTTATTATTATTATTATTATTATTATTATTATTATTATTATTACTAATCATTACACCTTACGGCACAAGAACAACAAAATCAAACACTTAAGCGAATGGGTATCACTAAGAAGAAAGTCACGCTCATGTGGTTCTGCAACGCGTAGCTGGCTGGATATGACCCGCAGCGGACTCCGTAGAAGAGTGGTCAGTTGTTAGGCTACAGTGCGACCTAAGTGACAGGTATCCGCCGTCTGTCCGCCAACAACCGGACACATTAGCGTAATAAAGACATCCATTAATGTTTGTCTGTAGCTGTGCGGTAGATAAGTTCATATCGCACACCGAAGGTCATTTCGCGCAGTTCGCTCACCTAGCAGGCTAATGTGCGGTAGCTGGCTGGCTAGTTGGTAAGCTAACGACAGCGTCAAAAGGAAGAGAAGAGCGGAAAACAAACGCAGCTGTTCATAAAAAGAAAAGAGAGCAAATAGACTGCAGCAGTGCCACGATGAATGTCGCTAAAAGTGGCTACCGTGTCTTTTCCGCAAACTCCTCCGTAGCATGCACAGAGTTGGCCAAGAAGATAACAGAGTAAGCACAATGTTCCTTACAGTTTCTACCACCGACTGCTTGATCATGTTTAAATACCCCGTTGTTCTCAGACACAACGTTACGTGTGAGTGTGAGCTGTAGTTCTTCATGGTAGCGGGTCAGTTACCAGCAGCCTTATTTTTAAATGAAGCACTGACCACTAACCATAAATCATATTTATTAATGGTTATTGGGTGACATTGGAAAATGAGAAACGCTTGCAGCTGTTTGAGTCTGTCTGGTCGTGAATGAATGAATGAATGAATGGTGTCATGTTGCTTTGTGTGTGAGATTTTGGCATTGTAGTGTGATATTTCACATTTCACAATTGTTTCTACTGCTGCTCTTGTTTCACAGGCGGCTGGGAGTTGAACTGGGGAAGTCTGTGGTCTTTCAGGAGTCTAACAGAGGTGAGGAGAATAGTGTGGCTTCATAGGCAAAGGAAATAATGTTACCAACAAAGGGAACTTGGAATAATTACTTTGCATTCACTGGATTTTTATTCCTAAGCATCATAAGAAAACCTTGTGTTTGGTTTGAGTAGCATCACCGTGTACAGCAATATAAAAAGAGCCTTTTGTGCTGCACTTGAGGGTGTGACACAATGAGACATCATCTGTTAACACACATGTTCACATAAATGTTTTCTAACATTTTTGTTACCCAGAAAAGGTGCGAAACGTCATCAAAATAAGGTGTTGCAATTAAGATGCAGCTTTACTCAATTTACTGATTGTGTCCTCCTTGTTTCCTTTACAATAGAAACTAGAGTGGATGTGAAAGAATCCGTGCGAGGACAAACTATCTTCATCATTCAGACCATACCACGGTGAGTATAGAAAGGCATGCCATTTGCATTGCAAAAGGACACAAATTCACTACCTGTGAGTCAGATCTTACAGTTTGTATCACTTGTTCAAGTTCATAATGTCCTTTTTATTCTGTTTTTGTCCAACCAGAGATGTCAACACAGCCATCATGGAGCTGCTGGTCATGGCCTACGCCCTCAAGACCTCTTGTGCAAAGAACATCATTGGAGTCATTCCTTACTTCCCCTACAGCAAACAGTGCAAGATGAGAAAGAGGGGCTCAATAGTGAGCAAGTTGTTAGCTTCAATGTTAGCTAAAGCAGGTAAAGATAACAAAATGAATGCCAGTCTGTGATTTGCTTAGTCTCTTTGTGCCATAAAAATGGATCTAATTGTCGACAGTGACATAAGTCCGTGCTGCTCGTCTGTCTTTGTAGGATTAACACACATCATCACCATGGACTTGCATCAGAAGGAGATCCAGGGCTTCTTCAGCTTTCCAGTGGACAACTTGCGTGCCTCCCCTTTCTTGATTCAGTACATCCAAGAAGAGGTGATACATCCCTTTTTTAATGTCTGCTGTGTGTGTTTAGGTGTTGGTATCTCCACCTATAAATAAGACCAATCAGTCAGTCTGATAAAAAGGCTGACATCTGTTTCCCTTCTCCCTGCCAGATTCCTGATTACAGAAACGCCATCATTGTGGCAAAGTCCCCGTCAGCAGCTAAGAGGTAACTGCTGGATGCAGAAAATGTCCCTGCTTCTTTTAGCATTGTTATGATGAAATAAAAGCTATTCAATCACGCCAATGTTTTTTTTTTTTAATTCAGATGCTGTATAGATGGAAGGAAAATGATGAAGGTGTCTTCCCCATTTCACCACTGCATTCTGACCTCTCTCTGTGGTTTTGTTCTAGGGCTCAGTCCTACGCAGAGCGCCTGCGTTTGGGCCTGGCTGTGATTCATGGCGAGGCTCAGTGTTCAGAGTCTGACATGGCTGACGGAAGACACTCCCCACCGTGTGTACGCAACACCACGGGACACACAGGGCTGGAGCTTCCTTGTAAGAACCCCTATTTTTGTAGAAGTTGTTGATGGTTTTCAGGGTTTCTTCGTAGGCCCAGTGCTCAATAGACTTTAGCTGTACAGAAAACATATCCCTGTTTATTGTTTCTCACTGTTGGGTGCTTTTTATTTGTCACCCCATGGTCAAATTCAGCAGATTTCAAAGAACTTTCTTATCATTTCTGCTAGTCTAGCTACTTCACTGCATTCATAATATAAATCTTGCCCACAACCTAATATAGCTCTTATTTGTGCTAACCTGTTTTCGAGCTGATGATTCTGCTGTTTCTTACTCATGTCATCAACCATACTCCGAGGAATAGATTTTTGTGTTACTGCATGTTTTAAATCCACAGACACACTACTTTTACTCATGCTGCATCCTCCGCAAGCTGCAACTCCTAACTGACAAAGAGTCATGTGCTTAATAATCGTAGAATCATAGTCGCTGTCTGTTTCGTGGCACATACTTTGATTTTAAAATATTTTATTTTTGGTGAGAAATACTGACTCTGGAATTTAGTTTTCAACATATTTGCAGTGTTAATTCCTGGTAAGGCCTTTATATATAATATCAAATTATTGTGTCATTGGCAAATGATTCCAAAGTATTAACGTCCAGTATTTACTTTATTATTTAGTAAAATATTTCTCTTCTTAGTTACTTGTGTTTCTAATTTCACCCTTGACTTAAAAAATCCTCCTTTTGGAACAGTAACTCACAAACTGCTTCAGCCGTAACAAGACTTTGCTTTAGGTTTTAACACAGTGAGTCTGATTTGTTGATGTGAAAATTGTTTACATTTCTGTCAACCTAGCGAGAGGATTTTCCAAGTCTTGGCATCATGTGTTTGTCATGTCAAATATTTGTGCATTTGTGTTAACGTGGTGTTTATTTGTTGGTAATAGCAGGCAAACAACAAGCTCCGTTCCCTGGCATAGAGCTCCCAAGTACGACCGTAAACATAACTTACATCTGACTTTAAAATTATTCCTCTTCAAATGGTTCTTTAATTCGTGCATGAGTAGATGAAAGGGTTTGTGTTGCATCTTGTGAAAATACAGTCTGGAATCAGGAGGCAGCAACGCACAAACTGATCTTTAGTGCACAGACAATTTGCATTAATCTTTTCAGGAGAATCAGCGACAGTGTGCTCAGTACTTTGTGCTGTTTGCATGGCATGTTTGACTTGAAACGAGCCGCTCTCATGTTTACTGAACCTTTCTAAGATTCCAGACAGCTAGTTCTACAAGATGACCAAACCCCTCTTTGTTTTGTTGTGTTCTGATTTTATTTTGAAATCCATAAATCAAACCAGAACCATGCCAAACATGATTTTGTTTTTTATTTTTTACTTTAATATCTGGACTCATCTTGCCAATCAACACATGGTGCACCCATATTAAACCCGCTCTTGAAAACCTGATTAACATTTGGTCATAACTGCATGTGGCGATAACAATGAAGCATGCTTTTGAACCCTAATATCCAATAATGGGAAGAAGACACTTTACGAATGTAATTGTTGTTACGTTTTAAGCATAAAAACAGCCCAAATCAAAGTTTTAGTTTGTTTTTCAATGCTAATATCATGCTTAAAAGCATAACTTATTTTATCAACGATAATATTAGCATTACACCCTCTATGGTGGAAGTTTCTGTAATGCAATGCCAACCTGTTCAAATTTGCTTATGAAATCCTTGGAGCTATTTTAGAAGATAATGTTATTAATGGGTTTTATTTTCTTGACCTCATTTCAAGATTTCTGACCAAACATTTCTCAGGTAGCTTGTTGCAGTATCTCAGCAAGCTGTAAAAACAACATATCTTTGAGAAGTGTGTGTACTGCTAACAACATGGCTTTTGCCCTTTTTTGGTTAAGAGTGATAAACGTCTGAATGTGACACTGCCAGGTTTTCTGATGCTGTGGGACTCACGGTATTCAGCAAAGTGTTCTGCAAGGCATGCTCCTCCTTTCTCTGCTTCTTTATACTTTTTCCTTCACAATCGGCTTGGCTGGCTGATTGTTTACCAGTGGATTGTTTCCTTGTACCCTTTGAAAGACTACATTTCCATGCACAGCAATACGTCAAACGCAGCTGTTTTTATTGGGTTATGTATCAAGTATGTATTTAATGGGTAGTCATTTAAATAAGCTACATTTAATCTAACCCTAGTTCAATTTTAATGCTTGAATTCGCAACATGTGTAGAGTAATTTATTTTAGTTGTGTGTGTATGTGTGTGTATCATATTATTAGGTAAGGTGGATGACTTTCATGTTGTCTTCAACATGTAATGTTTCTATTTAACCTTTTGTGTGACAGTTTATAGACCTCTAGCAGATTGAAAAGTTACATGGTATTATATATGCAAGCAAAATTACAGCTTGTAATCGGAGTGGAGAGAATTGCCTTAATAGATGTATAGACTCCGTACTGTGACGATGGACAGCTCAGACGTTCTCACAATGACTAGATGTGAGTAATTCAATTCCGTTTTGTTTGTCGTGTGAGATTAGCTCCAAAAAGTACAGCTGTTGCATCTCCTGTGATTGGCATGCGAGATGCAGTCTGATTATTGCGTGCATGTAAAAGTAGTCGCTGGCAGCAGTGATGTTCGACTGAGGACTGACCCCAGAACATTGGCAAGTGTGTATGAAGAAACCCTCATCAGTGCTTGTCAGCCACTGTCCCTCTGTGTGAAATAAGATTGTCTGGTGCATATTGGTTCATATGCAGACTGCTGCCATATGCCTGCCACAGCCTGGGCCTGAGGTGGTGTGTGTCCAGGCGGGTTATACGTTGCCTTCTGATTGGGTATCCTGGGCAGAAAACCCTGTCATTTGATTTTGCATGGCATGTGCTGTACTAAGTTTGGCATTTAAGTTTAATTTCCCAGGGGTAGGTGGGGTACAATGGGGGGAAAAAGTAGCTATTTTAAAATTTAATCCTGCGTAGTCACTCTTAACAGAATTTATACAAATCATTTACATCATCCAATCACAACCTCATAATTCGGGGTGTAGATTTGCCTTAATCGCAAAACATTTTCTCAACCCATTTTACCCAATCTGCTGACATTTTCTTTTGATTAGGTGAAATGCAGCACGCTTACCTTCCTTGACGTGCTCTCACAGGTAACCAGTTCTGCTTTTCTTTGTAGTGATGATGGCCAAGGAGAAACCTCCCATTACTGTAGTCGGAGACGTGGGAGGGAGAATTGCAATCATTGTGGTAAGATGCTGTAAATGTAGTTTTTGTAGCCCACATGATTGAGCTGTCATGGTCAGCTGCTCTGCTATTGTTGACTGACTGTTTTTTTAACAGCATTTCAAAGCTTTTTAAGTGGCAAATTAATGAATTTACTGCCACTGTAATGCCTCTTATCACCTACAGCAGCGGCTCCTTAGCCACTTTACATGGACCTAAAAATTGACCAAAAATTAGATTAAAATAACGGTTATCTTTTTCTATCATTGTTGAATAAAAATTAGTTACCATAATGTGCGTTATGTCCTAACCTGCCACCTTTTCCTCTTTATTTTGCTGAACTTCAATGGTGATGGCTACTAGTCTTAAGTCTCCCTAGCTAGGCTAGCAATAAATTCCAGAATCAAAAAATAAAAGGAAATATAGGAAATTTGCATAATAAGGCATGCATATGTTTTGTGGCTCCAAACTGATTTTTGTTTTTAGCCCAAAAATTTATTAAAAGTTGTTGAGCCCTGATCTACAGTAGTAATATAACTAGAGCAAATGTGAACTTAGCGAGGAGTTTTTAACTGGTTAAGAAGTGATCTCAAGTTACCCCTTTTGTCCACAGGGGGCTGCCAGAATCAACCAAAAATGAAAGTTCCTTATTGTAGCTTGAAGTACTCATGCTGTTTGACTTACATTTATACACGTTAAAGCAAGACTGTCAATTTTTAAAAAGCAGTATTAACTTTCGTCCTCTTGCACATAAAATGTTTAATTCATAATCATTAATACACACACACACACACACACGCTGAATTCAGTTTAGCATCTACATTCCTGTATGACAGACATTACTAACTCAATTCACTGACTTCATAACTACTACATTATTGATCCTGCCATTATCTTAAGCTGCTTAATGATACTGTGAATACTGAGAGATAACCAAAGGGAGGAGGTTGTGATTGTTAAGTCACATGTTGTATTTTTTTCTTTCTTCTTCCAGGATGACATTATAGATGATGTCGGAGACTTTGTTGCAGCTGCAGAGATCCTGAAAGAGAGAGGAGCCTATAAAATTTATATCATGGCCACACATGGCTTACTGTCTGCCGATGCTCCACGCCTCATAGAGGAATCTGCCATTGATGAGGTGAGGACACCTGAACTTGTTGTTGTCAATAGTGTGTGTCTCTTCTCAAATTTCATTTAATTAAATCAGTGAACGTTATTACTGTTGAGGCTGAATGAAAATCTGTGTCAAACCTGTTGAATACCAAGGGAAGCTAAAGGAGAAGTAATAAGGGAAGAAAAAAATGCCAAACTGAAGAACTTCTTTGAAACGATCATAAAACGCTCTTGTTCATAAGTTCTCATTTACTCTTTTTGAACACAATGTAAAAGTAAATACTTCCTCCTAATGGAAGGCTTTTCAGCTGAATTGTTATGGCATGAAATGAGTTGTAACTAGAACAAGGAAAGGATTATTATATGCAGCAGTTGCATTTCTGTAAATTATTAGTTTCTATTTTCAGTTCCTTCAAACTGTCCTGGCTTCAGAACACAGTTCAGTTTAAATTTAGTATTTATTTTATAAAATGTTTCAAGGTTTATGATATATGTTTAATTTAGAACACACTACTTGTAATCCCTGTTTGTTTCCCATATGTACTGGGTGGGCATTGGTTAGCTGAATTTATCTTTCCCAGGCAGCTTTTTGACTTAAATATAAAATCTGGTGTGTTGGATCTCTCTCAGTGTGGATTAATAAGTTCTAACATCAGTTTTAAACCATCTCCAGTTTCTAGACTTCCACTTTAAATGTGTTTATATTTGTCTGTTCCATGCAATGTGTATAAACACATACAGGCCGTTTCCCCCGTCTGTTCTCTCAAACTACTTTAAGCATCTGTCAACCTCAATTTTTCTTTCACAAATTAATGCACACCTTTGTGCTCTAGTTTTTATTAATTGATTTAATCACTCCTAACCAAATCTGTGACTGCCATGCCACATATGTTTTTGTATCAGCCTGACAAGAAACTGCACACTTTAAACTGCTATTTAATTCAAATGGAAACTGTCTCATTAAGCCTATCTTTGTGATTGTTCTCCCCTCAGGTGGTGGTGACCAACACAGTCCCCCATGAAGTACAGAAACTGCAGTGTCCCAAAATCAAGACCGTGGACGTCAGCATGATATTGGCTGAGGCCATCCGCCGCATCCACAACGGAGAGTCCATGGCCTACTTGTTCCGCAACATCACCGTGGACGACTAGAGAGTGTCAGAGAGTGAGAGCTGAGGTGGGTCTGAGGGTGACTGAGGGTACTTCTTCCCTGTAAAAACATGCTCATGTCATGTTCCATGTATTGTGTATGTCAGGATTACATGTATCCTAAAGAAATAGAAATTCTAAGAATTACCCAGAATTATTTAACTTCTCATCACAAGTTGTTAAAACATATTTCTTTTGCATCTTGTTGAGAAAGGATGATAAAAGTGCAAACGAGTGACTTTGAGCTTTAACGCACCCAGTCATATTTTAAAGCTCTTGTCTTGCAGCTATTGTTGATCTTCCAACTCGAACAGAAGATGCTTTCTATTTAAAAAAAAATATTTTGTCATACACTGCAGTACCTCATATGTAATGACTGAGCTTCAACAGCAAAAAGAGAAGAGAATAATGTGTGTCCCAGTAACAGGACTTGTGCTTTACCAACCCTTCTCCAGATGCTCTTACTGGCCCCTTATGATTACGGCTGCTCGGCACTGTGATTTCTTTTCATTTAACGGGGTGTGTTGTTTCCAACCACACAGACAAGACTGGACAAACTCCTGCCTATTGGTGCCCAAACTATATTTTTATGCATTTTCTTCTCTTTGCACCATTTGTGGGAACGTTTGGTGAAAGAAGAAGTTTCAGCAGAAATGTATAAGTCACCATTTTATATTGTATGTATTAGGGTGTCAGTTCAGCTAAAGTATAACAACAGATATTGTCCTACTTACCCGTAGTAGTAACTAGCCAGTAAGATAGTTTTGGTTTCATGCTATGGGTTTGAGATTCCTGCTGTAACTCCATTACAATGAAGGTAAATATATTTTCATTTATGACGCTCGAAGCATCAAATTATAATTTTAAAAAACTGAATAATCAGACACAAAGACTTAAAAACTCAATGTTCACAGTGAGATCTGCGGATTATCTTGAGTGCTTTGGACATTTTTTCTGGACAGGCAAGTATTTAAAAGATTTGAACCCGACAAATGAAATATCATTCACTTCCACTGTATTGTTGCATGGTTGCATATAGCAGTAAGTGGGAAATGTTTTATTTATTGTTTTGTTGTTTGGATGAACTGCCCCTTTAATATATTCTGTATATCTAGCAGTAGACTGAACACACTTAGTCCAATATTGTGCTCAATTTAACTGCCTGATGGTGACTGTGACCGACACCATCACAATGCATATGAATTACATTTATAGCTAATAGGACCATCTTGGTTTTAGCCAATTAACTACAAGCTATGAACACCAAACATTACTGCCGGTGGTTTTTCAAAGCAGAACAAGGATTTTCTTTGTGTTTTCAGTGAGTTTCTCTAAAGTCGTTGGTTTTCTTTCAATTCAATATTTCAATATGCGGCGCTTTACAGCTACTAACTTTGAAGTCTTGAAACGTGAGTGGGTATACCAGCACCTGAATGTACTAGATAAGTGGACTTGAGCCATGCTTTATGCATTACTTTACAATGACAACTTTGAAAACTCAACATAGTGGGCTACTGGAGTTGTTTTTTGTACAGATGGCTGCATAGAAGATACTAAAAGAAAAGCAGTAATGTAAAAAAAAAAAAAAAAATAGTTTTTGGTTTCAGTAAATTGGCAAACATGAAACAGCACCAGTGTTGTCCTAATGTTTGTGTAGAAATTGCTTTGGTGTGTCCTCAAAGAAACATTTGAAAATACGCACCTTGTTTTGCTCTACATACATTTCAGAGTGATGCTCTGTAGGGGGGAGTAGTGTATTTCTATGCTGATTGAGCCTTTTGCTCAGGGAAATATACTTAATAAGCCAATGCACAATTATTTGTTCTTGTGTGTGTTTTTTTTTTAATGCTTTCTTCCTGTTTAACATGTTGAAAAAAAGTGTGTTGAGAATGTCTTCCATACAGCAGTACTGTACGTCATTTGCTTTTCACATTTTGTTCGTTATTGAAACTGTATTTCTCCCGATGTGCTAATGGATGGGTATTTGACAGCTAGACGCACACACGGGTGTTGTGTTGGCACAAAGTTGAAAGTTGTCTGTATCAAATGCTGTTGCTCCGCCGCCACAGATAAAATCTGTGATTAGTGTATTTCATGATGTAATTTCTTCTGTCCTCACTGTTGTCCTGACTTGTCTGTGATGTTGAGGGCGTATGATTTAGTCACTAACACCCTTCTGTCTAGCTGTACAGCGTTTGTCCATGTGTATGAAAATAAAACAGTTGCCTCTTGCCGTGCCTCGTGTCTACCAAATAAGGAATCATATTGTGCTTTGGGAACAAGACCACAGTCTATGCACAGTTTATGTTACTGTATTACAGTTATAAGTTTTAGTTTAGAATAGGGATCTTTTTCTTCTAAGTATATCCTACACCAGTATCTCTCTGTAAAGTCTGTATTAAATTTTGTTTTTAAAATGTTTTTCCTTTAACTTTACAAAAGACAGACATTTTAAATAACTGGATGATGATAAATATTATATGATCATATTTCTTTATCTTGACACTAAAACATTAAAAAGAATCCGATATAAAATAATAGCCTAGTAAAAGAAACCTGTTGATTAAATAGATATTTAAAATTCAGATTTCCGATGTGAATTTTGAGATTTTAGGAAGATTCATGGTTAAAATGTTGCATTTCAGTGCAGTAAAATTTGCTTTTTGGTTACGTTAGATAGGTCAAGGTTAATCTTTGGATCTTTTCCTCTTTACCTGCAAAGCCGGTAATAAAAGGTAATAAAAGGTCATGCAAACATTAAAATACTGTATTGGCATGTGACAATGCTTACCTTTAACTTTGATGTACAGTACTACAGTACATCTTGCTTAACATTGTGCAGTATTGTTTTGTCATTCTTGCCCTGTATTAAGCCCGTCTGATGCAGTGACAGTCAGAAATCCTATACTTGTTCAAAACTTCTCAGGTATCCATACAACACTGAGGAGCTTTGACCAAGTCTAGGAGCAGAGACGAACACAGAAACACTCCTCCTTCAGTCAGTATCTGAAACCAATCTGCTAACTCGGCTACATTTCAGTGCAGTTACTTTTGCCTTTACCTAAATCCTACAACATGAATGGAAAGTTTAGTTCGCACCTGAGCTTTATAGAGGATGTTCTGCTTCTCTGGGTCCGTCCGTGTGCCAAAAAAGACAAGTTAGTGTCCGGCTGTGGACCTGCTGGAGACAGCTGTGAGTTTAAACAGAACACAAAGAGGAACCAGAGATCTGATAATCATAGGTCACTTCCTTGTCTGATTCTGGGGAAACAATGCACCTTGTCTCTCAATGTTTTTTTGGAAAGAGGAAGCATACCTTTTTTCTCTCCCTCCCTGGGCCTGTGTGGCATTTTTAACAGTGAGGAAATTGTGTTAACTGATGGGCTCTTGGAGAACATTTAAATGTCCAGAAAAAATTAACTGATCCATTTAAACCAGACATCATGTTAATGGCAGGTGCTGAATACTAGTTTCATTATGTGTTTTCAAATATTTGCAGTCTCCCACATTAACTTATATCACAAAAGGACACAGTAGGAAAGACATGATTTACAGTAAAAGGTACACTATACATCCAAATGCATTTTCAATTAGTTATATTAAGTTATGTATGGAGTTGCATAGCTTGTATTATATTTTCATCTTATCTCACGCACTGTAGCAGTGATTGGAGGCTGCTAAAGCATTGCCAGGTTATTTGTTTCCCTTATAATCTCATTTTTGTTGAAACGATGGCTTGTTGACCAACAGAGAACAAGGTAAATAACGACCACCAGAGGGCACTGCAACACAGAACAGTGAGCTCATGGAACTGATTTTGTGTGTGTAAGAGTAATGCAATATGTCCATAATTTTCTTTATTACACCCAATATCAACACAGCTTTGCAGGGAGTTTTTGGTTCACACCAACCAGGGTCGGTCCAGTGATGCAGCACTGCTTGGTTTTCAGTCTTTTTAAAACTCACATTTCTGGTTAGACCAGCACTGATCTTAAGAAAACAATACACATTGGAGTGTAATAACAGTCATTTAATATGCCATTGAAATAACAAATGTGTCAAAAGTATTAACAATTACAGTACAGTAATACAGTACGTACGAGCCAATTCTATACTACATTCACATGTAATATAGTCACATTTTGTGTCAGCCTTATTTTACTTTCATTGTATTTCAGTTTAGGCAGTGATAACTTACATCATCATTTTCCAGTGTTGATATGCCTTCCCTCACACACACACACACACACACACTTATTTTTGTCTGTTTTATAACGTCAAATCAGTCATATCAGTAAAAATGACAAAAAAAAGCTGCAAGCAATGCTAATTAATGTGTGGAGAGTGGATGAGACAAGCATTTTGACTGAAGATATAGGAAAACCATTTTATTTATCTTAAAATATGCACTGAATAGAAACATCAAACACCACCCTGGTCTTTGTACTACAACATTTTACATTCTCAAAGACACGGTGCAGGGATGTACAGATCTCTCTTCCTGATCAAGAAGAAAATAAATTATCTAATAAACCCCCACTAAAAATAAAAGAAATGTATTAAAGACAGAAAGAAAAACACCAGCAAGGGTTGCAAAATAATTGTTTACATGTTATATCCCCAAGTGCATAATGAGGTTTTGCGAAATAATTTTTTTTCCAGCAGCAAAAGAATTCACAACATATCTTTATATGTGTTGTTTTTAAAATATATACAGTTTCTAAGTTCATATGTTGTTCACTTTATTCATAAAACTAGCTCATGTAAACAGACTCTTGCATGAATACGCATCACTTCACTGTTATTGCACTTTTTTTAACAACAGCAACACAAAAACGAACATCACATATACAGATCAGTGTAAACTGAGCTCATGATACATAATTGTGCCTCTACACTGTCACAATGTATAAGGGAATCTTTTTTGACAGTAAGTGGTGCCTGCGTGTTCTTTTTTTCCATCATTCAGTTGTTCAACCACATTCTTTCATGTCTGTAAGGTGGTGTCTGTTTTCATCTTTGCATGTCACTGTAGCATCTCTGTGCTTTTGTGCAACGCTTTTACGCCTGATGAGGAGACCTAACACATTACATTACACATTTAACACTGTTTCTTGGTCTGTCCCCCAAGCCCCCCCACCAACAAAGCCCTTTCAGTCTCTAATGGGCAGTTTTCTCTCTCTTCTAGTTTAGTTGCCCTCTGAGCAGCTCCACATCATTATGAGATGAGGCAGCTGTTGGTCTTGTTCATAGGAGGTCGTTTGTTGCTCTCCTTCGGGAAGGTTTCCCGTCTCCGGCACAGTGCTGGACTGAGCCAGCTGGGCAGGTTGGCCTGCTGGAGTAGCTCCCTGAAAGCCTCCAGGACGTTGATGTTGTCTTTGGCGGAGGACTCAAGGAAGCTGTGGTTCCAGTCCAGCTCCACTGTGGACAGCGCATCCTCACTGGACACCTGGCGCTCGTTGTGGCGGTCTATCTTGTTGCCTATCACCACGATGGGCGTGTACTTGTCCTCTTTGACCTCCAGGATCTCTTCTCGCAGACTCTTGACCGCCTCCAGGGATTCAGGGTCGTCCACGGCGTAGACCAGGGCAAAGGCGTCGCTGTTCTGGATGGAGAGCTTACGCATGGCAGGGAAGGAGTAGCTGCCACTGGTGTCCATGATGTTGATGGTGACTTTGATGCCCCCCACCTCGTACTCCTTTCTGTGGAGCTCCTCCACCGTGCGCCGGTGCTTGGGTTCGAAAGTGTCTTTGAGGAAGCGTTGGATGAGGGCTGTCTTCCCCACTCCAGCTGCTCCCAAAAACACCAGACGCACCTCCGTCTTCTCCTTCACTTCAAAAGACATGATGACTTTCTGTTGCTCTTTTTCTCCAAAACACAGCTTGAGAGAATCTCTCTTCTGTTCTTAATTCTCTTCTTCGTTCCTTTGTCTGACAACTGGTTCAGATGTCAGTGATGGAGCTGGATGATGAGAGCAGATGTCTCTCTCCGGCTGCGCTCTGTATTTATGTTCACACACAGTACCTGCCCCCCTCTGCTCCCAGCCAATCAGGAGAGGGCAGTATCTCTCTGTACCTTACAGCAGCAAATCACATACACTCATGCAAATCAAGTAGAGTAAGTGGGGAAAAAACAGGTGGCATATGTGATTTTACTTGAAGTTCTTTGTATGCTGCTGCAAACAGGATCAGCTTTTTAAGACATTACAGTGTGTGTTCAATGCTGACTGTGTAATAAATCAATTATCCATGGATAAATTACCATTGTGAGTTACAGTATAGTTAAACTAGAATTAAATAAAAAAAAATACAATTAGCTCATAATGTTCTTGACAGCAGTTAGTCCATTTAGTATTACATCTATCTGCTGACCTGATGAAGATCTGGTGATATGATCGAAAGCTCCAGAAGAGCTACTATTTGGTGAGGTTGTCAAGTGAACGGAAATCTGTTCAATAGATTTTCCAGTCACAGACACTTGGGCAGCTATTTTTAGGCTCAAATTTAGGAAATGGCAATTTGGGTGAAATTTAGATTTACTTATTGTATTTTGTTTTGTTTTTCAGTTTGAATGACATAAATAAAAACTACTACATCATCAGTAGAAGGTCATACATTTAGAGCAGTCCTCAGTGGACTACCCGGACAAGAATAATATGCCAATAATTTCCTGTTGATAGTCTAGAATAAAAGGTCATTTGATCCTTGCTGCAAAACTGTTCTTGGGTTCTTTTTTATTTCAGAATAGCTGTAGTTTAAGTGGACATCTCTCCAGCATGATTTTATTTGTCCTGTATGATTGTATGATCATAGGGGGACACCTCTCATAGTCACTGTCCGAAACTCTGCTCACATGTCAGAGGCAGGGACAGATGTTCTGTTCTTGCACTCTTTGCAAGCCTGTTTTCGAACATGTTTGACACAATTGTTTTCATTACAATGGGTTAAACAAAAAAAAAAGAGCACGTTCAATATCACTGTCTTTTCAGTGCTGCTGGAATTCAAATGTCAAACTGTGTGGGAAGCTTCATGGTTTACATTAAATTCAGAAAAAAAAAAAAATATCACATAATATTAGTGTTATCATTATCATACTCACACTCATGTGCATCAACTTTGTCACTTGTTGCTATGATACGACCGAATCCATTACCTGAGCTGAAAGGGACTTATAACTAGAAATGTGCACCATATTAGTGTCATTCATTTCCAGCTGTTCACAGTGGACAATG